ATGGAGTTTATGGTTTAGGTTATTGGGTTTCTGGTTTGGGCTTAGAGATTGAGGTTTATCGGCTTTAGGGATTCAGGTCTAGAGTTCAGGGTATGGGGTTTAGGATATACTGTTGGCATGATTAGGACTATAATACATTGGGCGATCCCCCTCCCAGCTTCAAGGAAACTATCCAGTAGGATGCAAGGTTCAGGTCTAGGGCGTAGGATGTATGGTGTGGGATTGAAGGGTTGCTATACGGGGTTCGTATGCAGGATTTAGGGTTTGGGCTAGGTTCTTGAGAAGCGTTGACTGCTCCTTCACCTTTTGAAAGCAAGATCACCTCTCCCCAAAGTAAGATCAACAAAGGCTTAAGGTTTTAGGGCTTAGGGTTTAGGATGTAGGGTGTAGAGCAACCCGCGTTCTTTTTTGGATTTAGGGTTGAGGGCGTTCGCCTGCAAATTTGCGGGTTTAAAGCGCGCCATCTATAACAGCATAACATCTGTATCTGTATCTCTACACGTACACATGTTTACATTTCGGACAGCACCGCTCCTTGATGTGCGCCACTGAGAAAAACACAAGCCCTAAACCCTAAACCCAAAACACATACCCTAAACCTTATAAACACATACCCTAAACCCTGAACCCGAAGGCCTAAATCCTGTTTAACAAACAACCGAACAAATCTTTCAAACACAACGGCCAAGAGTCTGCACCCTGGCGATATTCGAAGGCCCGCTGCGCCTTGAGTTTGCTCAGGGTTAAGGGGTTTAGGATAGGATTTGGGGCTTATGGCTTAAACAAGTGGGTTTTGGGTTAAGTGTTAAACCCTAAACCCTGAACCCTAAGGGTTTTGGGTTACTTGTGCTCTTGTTGGCTTAGGGCTTTTGGTTTGGTAGCGCCTCGGGCTACCAACTTGCTTTTTGTTTTGGCTTCAGTACATCAGGCTTCGGGTGTGGGAGCTTGAAAGCTTGGGGTTTAGGGCTTATTAGAGTTATATAGAGGTGATATAGGGATAATGGAAAAGAACATGGAAACTGCTATAGTATATTGGGGTTATATAGGGATGTATTTTTAGGGTTTACTAAAGCAATTGTTAAAGATGGCTCAGGGCTTGGGAATCTCAGGGTCACGAAGCTTTGATTGCACAAGACTTTGTGGCTTCGGGCTTGGGTTTTGGGGGTGTTACAAATACTTGAAGATGTCTTTTCTTGACGTTGGTCTTTGGGCTGTTGAGTCCTGGCGCATAGAGTTTTGGATTCTTAGTGTTTTGGGCTCAGGAAAACAGACGGCGGGGCCAATCTAGAAACAGTAAGGAAAAGTTGCCACAGTTTTTCGACATTCTTGCGCATGATAGAATGCCTTAGTACCCAATGATCATATGATCATATACTTCCCATAAACAAGTAATTCAGATGCTATTTCCACAATCCACTTACCCAGTTAGCGGGTCCTTGGAGTCTTCGGGCTTATCCTCCTGAGCCTCAAGCCAAAATCCTAAGCCCCTGCTCGTTGACCCTGCACCTAAAAACCTAAAGCCTACATGCTAGACCCCAAAATATGAGCTCCAGTCTAAACTCCTTAACAAGGGCTACATAAGGGAGTATGTAGGGGAGTATTATGGGGGCCATCAAGGCGCATACTAGGAGTTTAGACTAGGGCTCATATCATTTTTGATTTTCTTCTCCCTCTGATTCTCCATCCCTACGGGGATTCAATAATCATATACTTGCCCAAAACCTGCACTATAATTACTATTCCCCCCTTAAGTAGATAGAATATGGGGGATGTAAGGATGTTATTACAATATACCCAAAGCCATGTTCTATCTACTTAACAGGGGCTATACTTATTGGGTGCATGGACCCTCTGGGCATTGTAAGCCTAAACCCTAAACCCTTAAACCCTAAATCCCTAAACCCTGACCCCCTAAATCTTAAACCCCTAAACCCTAAACCCTAAACCCCTCAAACCCTAAACCCCTGAACTCTAAACCCCTAAACCCTAAACCCCCAAACTGGGGTACCTAGGCATTGTAACAGGGACCGAGTTGCGGCGCATTTGCAGCCTCATCCTCCGGGGAGTCACCTTGCATCTCGTTCATCATCTGGGGCCTCGGTTTAGGGTTTAGGGTTGAGGGTTTGTAGGGTTTAGGGTTAATATTGGTTTTAGAGGGTTTAGGGTTTAGGTTTTAAAGGGTTAAGGGTTTAGGTTTTAAAGGGTTAAGGGTTTAGGGTTTATAGGGTTTAGGTTGATAGGGTTTAGGGTTTAGGGTTTATGGGGATTGGGGTTTAGGTTTTATGGGGTTTAGGGTTTAGGTTTTAGACGGTTTGGGGTTTAAAGGGTTGAGGGTTCGGAGTTTAGGTTTTAGGGTTAAGCATTTAGGGTTTAGGGTTGATGGGGATTGGGGTTTAGGTTTTATGGGGTTTAGGGTTTATGTAGGTTTAGAGGGTTTAAGGTTCAGGGTTTATAGGGTTTAGTGTTTAGGCTTTAGAGGGTTTAGGGTTTAAAGGGTTGAGGGTTTAGGGTTTAGGTGTTATAGGGTTTGGGGTTTATAGGGTTTAGGCTTTATAGGGTTTAGGGTGTAAGTTTTAATGGGTTTTGGGTTTAGGTTTTACAGGGTTTAGGGTTTAGGTGTTATGGTGTTTGGGGTCTAGGTTTTAGGGTTTAGGGTTTATAGGGTTTAGGGTGCCCTGAACCCTAAACCCTTCCCGAAAATCGGGTACACAGGGTCTATAAGGGAATGGAAAGGCAAATGAAACCACTATATTCTTTAGGGCTTAGGATATTGGGCTAATTCATGATAAGCCTTCCCACCCTTTAATCATAGACATGCCCCCAGTCAAATATTGGAGGTGTTTAGTATTGATGGGGTATTGTTGGTGGGAGTTGATGATTGTTCAACAAAAGGGCTGAGTGTAGGGTTTGGGTGTTGGGTTTCGGGTTCAGTGCCTAGGAGACTAATTTAGGCTTGGATTAGCTTTCGGGTCCGGAGTGTAGGGTCGGGAAGCTGGGATTTCGAGTCTAGGATTCAAGGTTTAGGGTCCCAAGCGTGCACAGGAAGTCATCCTAAATTCCTCGGCATAATCGTTCTTTCTGATGCTAAACCCTGAACCCTCAGGGAGAGTGGAGGGCTGGATCCTTTCCGTTATCCTTTCTGCCCCCATCCCATAAAACCAGTATCCTGAACCTTATACCCTTAAGAAAGACCCACACTGGAAAGTTGGGTGTCATTGTGAGCTTGTTTTGTCTAGCACCGTTTCTGTTGTAAGAACAAAGTTTTTGAATCATCTGCCACATCGCCACATCGCTTTGCCTGATAACTACGTGCGCAGACAATCGGGGATCTCAATCAGTTTGAACCTTATCATCTATGTGACTGCTGGGTGTTAGACCGTCTAAGCTAAACCCTTTGGGTGTAGAGTAAGATCTGTAGCTTTAGGCTTGAGGATTTTAGGCTTCAGGTTTCGGATGCAGATATTCAACACGTCGGCTTCAGGGTTTAGGAAAGGCCTAAACGCTATGAGGGGCACGAACCTCTTCAAGGCACACGGACTGCAGCAGCCGTGCAGAAGCGACCAGCGCGTTGATCTGGCTAGGCTTGACCCCACCCCCGCGCGCGCGCGCCCGCGCGTGTTTAAACCCAGTAGATCAGTGGTAGCTGACTGTACAGAAAATGTAAGCGTGGGTTCACTTTATGTTTCTAAATGGAAAGTCTCATGGTTATCGCTTAAGAAGGCCTTTGAACAAGCTCTTGATCACGGAAGCTCTAGACCCTGAGGCGTAAACCCTTAACTTAAACCCTAAACATCCCAAAAGAGGTCTCCAAGAAGGAGAGAGCACTTAAGAAGACCCCTAGCAGGGAATTCCACGGGAACCCTACACCCTAAACCCTAAACTTGGAGAGTCCGTCCTAGTTGGGGGGCTCCTTGATGATCTCCCTGTCTGGCCATCATTCAGAACAACTTTGCTTCAAGGTTAAGGGATGCTTTAGACTGTAGATTCTGACATAACATGGGCATGTGTTGAATGAGATGGTTTCGTCACAATATTGTCTCCATAGCAACTTAGCAGCTCCTTAACAGTAATCCGCCCTAAACTCTAGACCCTAAACCCTAAACTCCAAACCCTACCCCCTAAACCCTCAAC